CTTGGAAGCCTTGCAAGATTTAGAGTACTGCTGCAATAGATGTGTTGTTTTTGTTTGAGAAATTTAAAAAAATAAATAGTTTGCAAGAACTAAAACAGAAAATGTGGAATGCTAGTGACCCATGATTTCTCAGCATTTTAATCAACTATAATGGCTTTGAGATGGATTTTATGGAAGCAGAAGGGGAAGTAACCAGCACTGATTACATTCTACATAGATTATTTAAATGCATTTAATAAAGTGTAATCATATGTCCCCATTTTGTAGATAAAGAAGTTGAGGCTCAAAGAGGTGCAATACCTTACACAAAGCACACATCTGGTAAATGGCATATGGCTGGAAACTAGTTCTGATTCCAGATACTATGCTTCTATGAAATCATGTTCACTGACTAGGCAAATTATATAATTTAGAGACACATGAACAAGAGGAAATAGTCAATATATTTACATAAAAACCTATTCAATATTTCACTGTGAATCCCCAAATGAGGTAATTGAGGTAATTCAATTTCCTAGGCAAGTATTTCTGTGGCTGAATGGGTAATTATTGAACCAATTGTGCTATCAGATCACGCAGATCATGTGCTATGGAGGAGAGGGACTATTCTAGATATAGCACTACATATAAATTGCGCATCAGAGAGTTGCTTTGGAATAGTTTTAGCCCTAAGTGAGGATGACAACCTCTTGAGAGAGTTTCAAATTGAAAAATTGTTTTTGCGCTTGTGTTGTTGTTCTGTGTGGTTAGTCCTATACCAAATTTAATAAAACATTTATAAGCGTATATATTTAAATCTTGGCTTAAAGTAAAGATCACAGACGTACTATACAGTACTTCAGGAACAACATCACATAGAAAAAATTGACTTCAATTTATGTCATAAGGCCACATTTTAAAAAGCAGGTTCCTTGTCCTTTTTAGACTTCTTAAGTTCTGGAGGCTAACCTATCTCTCCCTTTAATCAGTAATGCAAAGTGTCTCCCAGATGTTCCCAGACTACTGGTGCTTTTGTGCCATTGAAATCCAGTCACAAGACCACAACAGTCCATCACAGCAAATGTGGGTGAGACAGGAATTGTGTCCATGTGTTGATTAGCCAAAAAACAGAGTTTGTCATAGGGCTCAAGAATCCTGCTTGGAAAGGAAAAGGGATTGGAAGTATCACTTGGGTTCTGGGAGAGCGCTATTAAGGTAAATCTCATGAAATACAATATGCTTCCTTTGCTTATTAACGTTTTCTTTAGCATGTTTCTCAGCCAAGTGTTCTTGCAATGAAGATTTATTGGTACGAATAAAAAGATGCTACATTGTTATCATGCTGTGGTCAAATAAGCTTGAAAAGCAATAATTAACTTACTACATTGTTAAAGTATACTTATACAATATTAAACTGTATGTAAATCGTCTCTGCCTCAAACTTCTAGTTTCCAATGTATTCCTTGGCAGAGAGTTACAGCTCCTTATTGGTTTTTTCCATTTTTCTCAGTTCATGAATGTTAAACTAAATTTTAAATGAAATTATAGATTCTAAGGACTCTTAACTCCAATTTTTGTCCTTTCATTCCAATTTCCTCAAGTAATACAAATCCAAAACATGATTTTATTATCATTTGAGATTAAAATCATAGGACTGTTTCATCTTCTTTCCTTCCAACATTTCTGACATTTACATTTTATTTTTAATTTCAAAATAAAACATGCACATAGTTTATAAAATCAAATGTCCTAACATGTTTTTAGCAAAAATAGCCACTTCATGGCTCATCCCCTCCTCCTCAGCAACATTGTTCTCATGTTTACCCATCTCACTACTTATTGATGATAGGCATTCATATATCATTATATTTTTCTCTCCTTCAATATTTACTTTTATCTTATATTGTGACAAGTTTCAAACATTTGTAACAATAATTGGAATCATAAAGTTAACCCTCATGTACCCATCACCCAAATTTAGCAATTATCAACTCATGACCAACCTTCTTGCCTCAAACTCTGCATCCATTTTTCTCTTCTCTAGGCTAATTTTTTTTCATTTAAAAATTTTTAATGGAAATGGAACCTACATGTGGAAATGTACAAGTATCAAAGTATACTTCTCCCTTAATTTCCACCCAGAGAACACCCCGTGACCTCAGTACTCAGGCCAAGAAACAAGACATTAGCAAGCCCTGAGGGCCTCACTTTGGCTTCTTCCCCGTTAACACTCCTCTAAGAGTATCCCCTCTTCTGACTTGCAACGGCAGAGATCTGTGTCCTCTGTTCTTGTACAGTACACAAATGGAATCACACAGTGCATGCTTTTTTGGTCTGACTTCTACTCAATATTATATTTCTGATGTTCATTCCTATGGCTTTCTCTCATACTTTCTCAGTATTCTTTAGTAGTACATTATGTAAATACTGCATTATGTGACTATTTCAGTTTATTTAGACTGTCTACTGTTGGGCATTTCAGTGAGGTCCATTTTGTAGCTATTTCAAATAGCATGGCTATGAATGTTTTTGGTGATCATATGTTTGCATTCTTTTTCTTGAGTATATACTTCTTAGTATATATTGAGTATTATATATTACTGGGTCATAGAGTATGTATATATTCAGATACAGTGCATACTTTAATATATGCTTCCAAAAAGTTTTCCAAATTTGTGTAAATACATATTCCCAATAGCAGTGTATGGGCGTCCCAGTTATTCCACAACCATTGCCAACATGTGTTACTTCCTGTCTTCATTTTAGTATTCTAGTGGTTTGCAGTGGGATTTTACTATGGTTGGAACTCTGTGGACTAATGAAGTTGAACACCTTTTCATATGTGAGCTGGTCATTTGGCTATCTTCTTTTGTGAACTGCCTGGAAAAATCTTTCATTAATATTCCCGATTGATCTGTAGAACTTATTCATTTTTTTTGCATATGAGCCTCCTTTTATTTTTTAAACTTGTTCATTTTCATCCACTTGAAAAGCAGAGTACAGAAAGAAAGAGAGGGAGAGTCAGAGATAGAGCGAGAGTGAGCAAGCGAGCAAGCAAGAGTGAGAGAGAGAGAGAAGAGAGAGAATTTATCATCTGCTGTTTCTCTCCCCAAATGCCCCCAATAGCCAGAGCTGGGCCAAGCACAGGTAAAAGCCAGGAATTTCATCCAGGTCTCTCACATGGGTGGAAGGGGCCCAAACACATGAACCATTATCTATTCCCTTTCAGGATGCATCCACAGGAAGCCAGATGGGAAGCAGAAGAGCTGGGACTCAAACCAGGCGCTCTGATACAGGATGTAAGTGAAATGGTGGCTTAGCCCACTGTGCCACAGGGCCTGCCCCAGGTACCTTTTAAGATACATGTGTTGCAAATATCTTTTTCCACTTTGTGGATTATCTTTTGTGGCTATAAAGATATCTTGATTTAGTTTTTAAAATAGTACCATTATTCATTTAAAAATTTGTCTACTTCAGTGCCATACATGTACTTTTTTTTTTCTAATTCTTTGTTGCTTTACCTTTCACATTTAGGATCACAATCTATTCAAAATTGAATGTTGTTTATGGAGTGAGGTAGGTAAGGGTCAATATTCACTTTTTTCATATGTACTAAATTGATCCAGCATTATTTTTTGAAAAAAAAATTTTTGTTCACTATATTAAAGTGTCACTTTCATAATAAATAAGCTACCAGTATGTAGGTCTTTTTGGAATCACCTCTTTCCTGTTGGCTTGTTCTTACTCAAATAGGACAATTTTAGTCACTGGGGTTTTATAATAGTTATAGGCATCTGGAAGTACCAGTCCACCAGTTTTCTCCTTTTTAAAGGTCACCTTAGCCTTTTCTCATTCATTTTCATATTGACTTTATATAATCTTTCATCTAAAAGTAGTAATAATCCACTGGATTACTAGGATTGAATTGAGTATATAATTTGGGGATAAGGGACCTCTGTATAAGATTGAGTCTTATGCTCCATGGATATGTTATGTATCTCCATTTGTCTGTTTATTTTATAAAAATGTAGTCAAATTTAACAGTATTCTTCCCTTTATTGGGGGGGATTTTTTGAACACTGTTTTATAATTCTTTCAGGACTACTGAATTATGAAGATATTACCTTCTTAAATCCTAATGGTTTGCATGTTATACTTAGATGTAAAATAGAGAACACAAACTCCACACATCTATAACCAACTTATCTTTGACAAAGAAGCTAAAATCAATCCATCAATCCCTGTAGCAAGGACAGTCTCTTCAACAAACGGTGCTGGGAAGAAAACTGGATCTCCACAGGCAGAAGTATGAAACTAGATCCCTACATTACACCTTACACAGAAATACATTAAATCTATGACCTATTATCACCAAATTACTAGAGAAGAACATTAGAGAAACTCTGCAAGACATTGGCATAGGCAAAGACTTCTTGGAAAAGATCCCAGAAGCACAGGCAATCAAAACCAAAATTGAGAAATGGATTACATCAAGCTGAGAAGCTTCTGTACTGCAAAAGTAACACTCAGCATAGTGAAGAGGCAACAGCAGTATAGGAGAAAATATTTGCAAACTATGAAACTGATAAAAGGTTAATATACACAATCTATTAAGAGCTTAAGAAACTCAACAACAACAAAACAAACAGTCCAGTTAAGAAATAGGCAAAGCTTGAACAGGCATTTTTCAAAACAGGAAATTCAAATAGCCAACAGACACTTGAAAAAATGCTCAGGATCACTAGCCATCAGGGAAATACAAATTAAAACCACAATGAGGTTTCACCTCATCCAGTTCGAATGGCTCTCATACAGAAATCAACTCACAACAAATACTGGCAAGAATTTGGGGGAAAAGTACCCTAATTCACTGTTGGTGGAAATGTAAACTGGTACAGCCACTGTGGACGACAGTATGTGGACACCTCAGAGAATATAGACCTACTACATGATGCAGCCATCCCACTCCTGGGAATTTGCTCAAACAAAAAGAAATCAGCATATGAAAGAGATATCTGTACCTGCATGTTCATTGCAGCTCAATTCACAATAGCTAAGATATGGAATCAACCCAGATGTCCATCAGCTGAAGGCTGGATAACGAAAGCACGATATATTTGCACTATGGAGTACTTCTCAGCTGTGAAAAAAAAAAAAAATGAAATCCTGTCTTTTGTAACAAAATGGATGCAACTGGAAACCATTATACTTTGGGAAATAAGCCAGTCCTAAAAAGACAGATATCATATGTTTTCCCTGATCTGGGAAACTAATAGAGTACCTAAACTGTAGTGTATTGGAGTGAAATGGACATTTTGATGATTGTTTACATTGCTTGTCTCTACTATTAAGGAACAGTGTTTTTTTTTTCTTCATAATATTTATTGAACTCTTTACTTAGTGTAGGGTCAACCTTATGAATATAAAGTAAACTGAAAACAGATTTTGATAAAAATTAAGAGTGGGAATGGGAGAGGGAGGAGGAAGAAGTGTTGGAACGTGGATGGGAGGGAGGATAGGTTGGGAAGTATCACTATCTTCCTAAATCTGTATGAGGGGCCGGTGCTGTGGTACAGCGGGTTAACGCCCTGGCCTGAAGCGCCGGCATCCCATATGGGTGCTGGTTCGAGACCCGGCTGCTCCAATTCCAATCCAGCTCTCTGCTATGGCCTGGGAAAGCATTAGAAGATGGCCCAAGTCCTTGGGCCCCTGCACCCACGTGGGAGACCTGGAGGAGGCTCCTGGCTCCTAGTTTTGGATCAGTGCAGCTCCAGCCGTTGCTGCCAATTGAGGAGTGAACTAGCAGATGGAGGACCTCTCTCTCTCTCTGCCTCTCCTCTCTCTGCATAACTCTGCCTTTCAAATAAATAAATAAATAAATCTTTTTAAAAAATGAAATACATGAAACTTGTATACCTTAAATAAAATTAAAAAAAATAAAATATTGGGGCCGGCGCCATGGCTCACTTGGTTAATCCTCTGCCTGTGGCGCTGGCATCCCATATGGGTGCCGGGTTCTAGTCCGAGTTGCTCCTCTACCAGTCCAGCTCTCTGCTGTGGCCCAGGAGTGCACTGGAGGATGGCCCAGGTGCTTGGGTGCCTGCACCCACGTCGGAGACCAGGAGAAGCACCTGGCTCCTGGCTTCAGATTGGCATAGCTCCAGCCGTGGTGGCCACTTGGGGGGTGAACCAACGGAAGGAAGACCTTTCTCTCTGTCTCTCTCTCACTGTCTCACTCTGTCAAATAAAAAATAAAATATTAAAAAAAAACATTTTATTGGAATACAGTATACCTGCCAAGAAATGCACATAAGTGTATACAGATAAATGAGGTTTATTTTGTCATTTGATTGCACTCATAACAAACACCCAATTTAAGAACAGAGCATTACTAGTACCCCAAAGTCCCATTCTCCCTTCGTGTCTTTGTTTTGAACATATGGAATAAGAGTATATTATGATGTACATGGTATGAGCAGCGAAGCACAATTTACAACTATATATCAAATTACATGATATCCACACCATTTTTATGCTCTTTCTGTACATTAACCACCACAAATAAGATAGAACATCTGCTATTTGTCTTTTTGGGTTTAAGTTTACTTCACTTAGCAAAATGGTCTCCAGTTTCATCCATTTTGTTACAGATGTCAGAATTTCATTCTTTTATTTGGTTGAGTAATATTCCATCTTGTATGTCTACCACAGTTCCTCTATATAGTCATTAGCTGATGGACATTTAAGTTGACTCCATATCTTAATTATTATGAATTGAGCTGCTATAAAGACAGGTGTGCAGGTAATGCTTTCATATGCTGATTTCATTTCCTTTGGCTATATTCTCAGGAATGGGATAGCTGGATCATATGGAAGACTTATTTTTAGTTTTCTGAGGAATCTTTACTTTCTTCCATAACTCTTTCAACAGTTTGCTTTCCCACCAATAGTGCATTAGTATATCTTTTTCTCTCCCAGCATTTATTGATTTTTTGGATGATAGAATTCTAACTGTGGTGAGGTGATACCTCGTTGCAGTTTTTACTTGCATTTTCCTGATGGCTACTAAACCTGAGCATTTTTTCATGTGTCTTTTATCATCTATATTGCATTCTTCAACAAATGGTTGTTCATATCCTTTACTCATTTCCTTTCTTATTTTTTTTTTTTTGACAGGCAGAGTTAGACAGTGAGAAAGAAAGACAGAGAGAAAGGTCTTCCTTCTGTTGGTTCACTCCCCAAATGGCCACCACGGCTGGCGCGCTGCTCCGATCCGAAGCCAGGAACCATCTAGGTGCTTCCTCCTGGTCTCCCATGGGGTGCAGAGCCCAAGCACTTGGGCCATCCTCCACTGCACTCCCGGGCCACAGCAGAGAGCTGGACTGGAAGAGGAGCAACTGGGACAGAATCCGGCGCCCCAACTGGGACTAGAACCCAGGGTGCCAGTGCTACAGGTGGAAGATTAGCCTATTGAGCTGCGGTGCCGGCCCTTTTTCATTATTTTTAAATTTATTTTTCTCCAAAAGAAACCTTTTATTTAAGGAATACAAATTTCATGCATTTCATAAGTATAACTTTAGGAATATAGTGATTCTTTCCACCATACTCGCCCCCCCCAACTCTCTCTCACCCTTCCTCCTCCTCCTTCTCCCATCCCCAGTCTCATTCTCCAGTATAATCCTTTTTCAATTAACTTTATACACAGAAGACCAACTCTATGCTAAGTAAAGAGTTCAACAATTTGCACAAAAACAACAACAACAAAACTGTTCCTCAACAGTAGAGACAAGTGCAATTCTAAGTCATTGCATCTTGAAGTTAATTTCACTTCTTTTTATTTTTATTTTTTGAAAATTCACTTAAAGATGTACCCAAGAATGATGCATCTTTTGCAAGCACTCAGACATAATTATGATACAACTCTGTGAGGACAGAGGTCCTTCATGGGAAGTTAGTGCACAGTGATTCTTTGTTGTTAATTTAACAGTTAACACTCTTATGTATGACATCAGTGATCACCTGAGGCTCTTGACATGTGCTGCCTAGGCTATGGAAGCCTTCTGAATCCATAAACTCCATCAGTATTTAGACTCCTGGGAGTCTTCCCAAGGGAAATGAAATCAGCATATGAGTTATCTGCACCCCCATGTTTATTGTAGCTCAATTCACAATAGTTAAGACATAGAATCAACCCAAATGCCCATTAACTGAAGACTAGATAAAGAAATTATGGGATATGTACCCTATGGAATACTACATAGCAGTAAAAGAAAATGAAATCTGGTCATTTACAACAAAATGGATGAATCTAGAAAACATCATACTTGGTGAAATAAGCCAGTCCCAAAGGGACAAATACCATATATTCTCCCTGACCTAGGATAACTAATAGAGCATCTAAAAGGCAATCTTTAGACGTGAAATTGACATGTTGAGAAGCAGTGACTTGAACAGCCCTTGTCTTGACTGTTGCCCATTTCTTAACCAGATTTTTTGTTTTGTTGTTGAGTTTCTTAAGTTCCTTATCTATTTGGAGTATCAACCTTTTATCAGATGTATAATTTGCAAATATTTTCTCTTGTTATGTCAATTGTCTCTTCATTTTGTTAATTGTTTCTTTTGCTGTGGAGAAACTTTTTAGCTTGATGTAATCCCATTTGTTTACTTTTGCTTTTATTGCCTGTGCTTCTGGGGTCTTATCCAAAAAGTTTTTGCCTAGGCCACTGTCTTGCAGTTTGTCCCTTTTTTTTTTTTTCTAGTAATTTGATGGTTTCAGGTCTTAGGTTTAGAGCCTTGATCCACTGAGAGTTGATTTTTGTATAAGGTGTAAGGTAGGGATCTTGGTTCATACTTTTATATATAGAGATCCAATTTTTGCAACACCATTTTTCTTTAAGAGACTGTCTTTTATCAAGGAAGTGATTTTAGCTTGTTTGTCAAAGATTAATAGGTTGTAGATGAATGGATTAATGTCTGGGGTTTCTATTCTGTTTGTTATTCTGCCAGTATCAGGATGTTTTGATTATAACAGCCCTGTATTGAAATATGGTTATGTGATGCTACTGGGTTTGTTCTCATTGTTAAGATTGCCTAGCTATTCAGGGTCTTTTATGTTCCATATGAATTTTAGGATTTTTTTTTTCTAGTTCTTTGAGAATGTCCTTGGAATTTTGATTGGGATCACATTGAATCTGTAAATTTCTTTGGGTAGTACGGAAACCATGAAACTTTCAATCCATGAACATGGAAGACATTTCTATTCTTTTGTGTCTTTCATTTTATTCATTAATGTTTTGTAATTTTCATTGTAGAGATCTTTCACAGCCTCTGTTTAATTTATCTGAAGGTATTTTAATTTTTTGTAGTTATTGTGAATTGGATTGATATTATAAGTTCTTTCTTAGCCAGAGCATTGCTAGTATATAGAATGCTATTGACTTTTGTGGTTTTGATTTTAATCCTGCAACTCTGCCAAATTTTCTGATAATTTGTAGTAATATCTTAGTGGAGTCTTTTGGCTCCCCTATTTAAAGGATCATGTCATCAGCAAACAGGTGTGATTTTACTTTCTCCTTTCTAATTTGTATCCTTTTGATTTCTTTCCTTATCTAAAGGCTCTGGCTAAAACTTTCAGAACTATATCAAATAGTAATAGTGACAGTGGGCATCTTTGTCTAATTTCAGATCTTAGTGGAAATGCTGCCATCTTTTCCCCATTCAATAAGGTGCTATCTGTGGATTTGTCATCTATTGTCTTATTTGTGTTGAGATATGTTCCTTCTATATCCATTTTTTTAAAAATTTTTTGAAGATCCAAAGCCAGGGGCCAGGTGCTTCTTCCTGGTCTCCCAAGCACTTGGGCCATCTTCTACTGCTTTCCCAGGCCACAGCAGAGAGCTGGACTGGAAGAGGAGCAACTGGGACAGAACTGGCACCCATATGGGATGCCAGCACCACAGGCAGAGGATTAACTTAGTGTGCCATGGCACCAGCCCCCTGATGCTCATCTTTTGATTTCTATTTGCATGGTATATCTTTTTCTGTCCTTTCACTTTCAGCCTTTGTATATCTTTACTAGTGAATTGTGTTTCTAGTAGGCAGCATATAGAAGGGTCTTTTTACAAAAAAAAATCCATTCATCCAGTTTGTATCTTTTAATTGGTGAATTTAGTCCATTTACCAAGGTTGTTATTGATAAGTAATGAGTTGGTACTGATATTTTTCCACGAATATTCCTATAATTTGTTTTGAATCTCCTTTGTTCTTTTACTATGTTGCTTTCTATGTCCACACTCTTTCTTGATGTTGAATGTCTTTCTGTTTCTTTATATTGTACATCCTTAAACATCATTTATAAGACTGGTTGGTGGTGACAAACTCTTTCAATTTTGGCTTGTTTTTGGAAGGTCTTTATTTAACCTTTATTTATGAAAGACAGTTTTGCTGGGTAAAATCTTCCTGGTTGTTTAAGACTTGGTTCCATTTTCACAGGGTTTCTATTGAAAAATATGCTATTTATCTGATAGGAGTTCGTTTAAAGGTTCTGTGTCTCCCTTGAAAATTTTAGGATATTATCTTTATGTTTTAGTTTTGAACATTTGACTATGATGTGTCATGCTGAGGATCTTTTCTGGTCTTGCCTATTTGGGTTTCTATGTGGTTACTGTATTTAATGTCCATATATTTCTGAAAATTAGGGGAAATTTCTACTATTATTTCAATGAATAGTTTTCTAAACTGTTCCTTTTTTACCTCCATGCCTTCAGGATCTCCTAATATTCATATATTTGGTTGGTTGATGGTATCTCATAGATTCTGAAAACTATTTTGGTCTTTTTTTTTTTTTTGTCTAAGATATTTCAAAAGAACTGTCTTCTAGATCAGATATTCTTTCTTCTGCTTCAACAAGTCTGCTGTTAAGGCTTTCCACTGAATTTTTTATTTGACTCATTGAACACTTCATTTCTAATATTACTGTTTGTTATTTTCTTCAGTACCTCTCTTTGCTGAAATTTTTTGTCCATGTCATGCACTGAATTCCTACTTTCATTCCTTAAAATTCCTTTTCAGGCATTTTGTCAATCTCCCTTTCTTCACAGTCCAATATTAATAAATTATTATATTCCTTTTGCAGAGGAATATTGCCTTGCTTGTTTATTTGTGTGTGTGTGGGTATGTGGGTGTATTTCTAAGCTGATTTTTGCACATCTAGGAGAATCCCTTGTTACTATCTCCTCTGGAGGATCTCTCTCTCTCTCTCTCTCTCTCTTTCTCTGAGGGAAGGCTTTATTTCCTGGAAATGTGCCTCCTGGTCTTGGTGGAGTGTCTAAGGCTTACATTTTCATTTCCGGGTGTGTGCTGGGTGGGGCTGGGGAGCTCCAGGAAGGTTCACTGTACAGAGCTCTGCTCTGCTAGATCTGTCCCTACTGTGCAGGGAGCTCAGAGTCTCCACACCCCAGCCTCAGCCAGTGACCTTCTCACCTCCGTGGCCTATGCCCAGAACTCCTGCAGTAACAGGATACAGAGGACCCGCTCTTTACTATATAAATTGCCTATCCTGACCCTGGTGAGTTCCCACAGCAGGGGAACTGTCCAGTTTCCCAACTCAGGTTGGAGTTCAACTGGAGTTCTACCTCAACAGATTGTGCCTAGAACTTTGGTTGGGGGGAGAGAGAGGAGGTAATGGGGCCTCACTTCACAGAGAAAAGTAATCGCCCAAACCCCTACCAACTCCCCAGGCCAGACATGAAACCAGTGGGGAACCATGTAATTCTCCCTCAGTCAAAGCTGTTGGTTGTAGTGGCCACAGCACCTTGTCCAGGGAAGATGGCACTTCGCAGCCCACAGCCAGTCATGTCGATGCAGGAGTGGCAGATATAGTTGCCTATCCCATGTTTGAAATTATCTCCTTTTTTTCCAGGTGTTGTATAATTTACATTTCAGTCTATTATCCATTTTGACCTGTTTCCTGAATAGTGTGAGCAATGAGTCAAGGTTGTTTTAAAAATAGATATCCAATTGGATTGTTTAGACATCTTTGAAGAAAATCCATTGACAAAGAGTTTATACATGAACTCTACTTTTACATATTAGACTGTTTCCAGTTGCTCTACAAGTCCCTGAGGCACCATTCATTTTCTAATAATTGTCCTTCTGTCTGGTCTTCAGATTGGATTTTTTAATTAATCTGTTTTTGTATTCTGTGATATTTTCTTCTTTGGTGTCTAACTTGGATATATTTTAGTATATCCACCAATTTTAAAATTTCATATGTATTTTTCAGCTCCAAAATTTTTTTGAGTAATTGAGATTTCCTATTGATTCTTTTTAATTATTTGCATGTTTTTCTTTGTATCCTTAGATGCCTAACACTTTAGTATGCTGGTAAATAATTTCTATAATTATTAAGTGTATTTCTTAATAATTAATTTGTTTCTCTCTTAATTGTAGGCCACTTTCTCTGCTTCTCTACATATCTGGTAGTATTTTATTGAGTATTGGATAATTTTGTTCTATTTTTGTAAAAAGCACTGAACTTTGTTATAGCAGGTGATTAATTTCCCTGTGGATCAGTTTAATTATTTATAAGATGGTTTATAAGCAATTCTATAAACATGGTGGGTCTAGTCTGGGGCTAGTCTGGCCTACTCATTAGAGTTTTGTCCTTTTTCTTAATTGCTAGTATTTTATTTTTTAAAATTTTATTTATTTAATAAATAAATTGCCAAGGTTGGCCACACTGAAGCCAGGATCTGGGAACTCAATCTAGGTCTCCCTTGTGGATGGCAGGGACACAACCACTTGAGTCATCACCTGTCATCTCTTCAGGGTGCTGGAATCATGAGTGGAGGAGGTGCTGAAAGCCAAGGACTCTGAAGTAGGATATGAATATCCTCAACGACATTTCATCTCTATATCAAAACCTGTTTCTACATATTGTCTTTAAAAATGTTTTAAATGTGTTTATTTTTATTTATTTCTTTGACAGGTAGAGTTTACAGAGAGAGAGAAAGAGAGACAGAGAGAAAGAAATCTTCCACCTGCTGGTTAACTCCCCAAATGGCCACTATAACTGGAGCTGGGCCAGTCCAAAGCCGGGTTCTTCTGGTTCTCCCATGTGAGTGGCAGAGGCCAAAGTACTTGGGCCATCTTCTGCTGCTTTCCCAAGCACATTAGCAGGGAACTGGATCAGAAGTGGAGCAGCTAGGGCTTGAACTGGTGCCTGCATGGGATGTCAGCTTCACAGGCAGCAGGTTTAACCACTCCACACTACACCACACCACCAGTCCCCAAATTTTGTCTTCTGTGGGTATCAGTTGAGTTCCTGAGTCTTTACTGAGGCCTGTTACTTATACTAGGTAGAACCCCAACATCTCCCAGCCCTGTGCAAGCTGTGCATCTCCATTCAACCCATTGCTTTCCGTGGCATTAAGGACTCTTAACCTTTGCTTGCACAGCTTAGTCTGGCCAAAGACTTAAAGGCTCCACATTCAGATTTCTGGAGATCCTTCTCTTTGTAGCTCTCTTTTCTTCTTTGTTTTATATTTCAGCTACCTTAGCAGCTGTTACTCTCTTGTTTTCTTTTGTCTTATAATAAAATTATAGTAGATTCAATTATGTTCCTTTTCTACTACCTATTTTAAGTGAAGACGGTTTCCTTTTATGTTCAGAAGGTAGGAATGGATCAGGCTCACAATGTCTGCGGTGTGACTCCCTTTTCTACTTTTTTCTAGAAGTGCTAAACCATAAAAATTAAACCATACCCTTCTCTTTCTAAAGTCTGCTGCCCCCTCATCCTTCCCACCTACATCTGCCCCTCTCTTTCCTTTTTCCCACTCCAGGTCTTGTTTGGCTTGGATTCTATGATAAAACTATCTTTTAAATATGACCGTATCCTAATATGGAGCTTAGGTCTTTGATTTTTTGAGAGTCCTTTAGGCTATACAATTCTAACACTTTTGAACTTGTGGCTATTCATTTATTCCATTCCTGTGGTGTAGATTCTCGAAATTTCTGTTTTGGAGTCTGTCCGCAGATGGTCTCTTGGCACTTTCCAGTGGGTACCTGTTGGGGGTTTTGAGGTTCTTCTACTCTCAGGCTGCTCCTGCACAAATGCTGACAGATCTTACATATGTGGGTTATTTGTCACTATCTTTATATTTTAGGTTCCTGAGGATTTTTTTATTACCTCATTTAGTTGCAGATGTTGTACTTGGGTTTTTCCTTTCATTATCTTACTTGGTCTTTCTGTTTTATTAATGATTCATAAAGATTCACTGCCAATACCACCAGCCTAGAATCTTCCTTTATATATTTCTTGGGAAAATAATACATATTACTTGTCATGCAGGAATGAAAGACATACTTTAATTCATGTACTATTTAAACTTTAAAGTCATTATTGTAGTATTGAGTAATTTTAAAACTCTACACAAGATTATGTTTTTGGTTAGGATGCTGACAAAAATTATAAATGCAGACTCTATATCAGGATCGAGGTGTGTGCCATGAAGAATTAACTTTACCCAAGCAGAGCTCTGGACTTCGCCCATGGCTTTTGAGAGGAGGTTTTTAGGCCGTAGGAATGTCCTGCCAGAAATGAGTGTCTGCCTGGGGGCTTTCACCACAGAACAGACGAACAATAGGATTTATGAGGGGAGTTTTGGAATATTCCACATGAGTTCCAAATTCCTGAGGCACTAGAGGACTACAGGGATTAGCCTAAACCTCTATGAAGGGTTAGAGCTGAAAGGTCAGCCACATGAGCAATATATATAATCAAGCTCTGTTTAAAACTCCGGACTTCAAAGGCTTGGATGAGATTCTCAGCAATGCTCTGTGTTCTCCACATGTCAGTGTGCTGGGAGAGTAGTACTCCCCTGAGTGTGGTGGAAGCTCCGTGCTTGGAACTCTCTCAGGCTTTGCCCATGTGTCTCTCCCTCTGGCTGGTTTTGTTTTATAACCTTTTGCAATAAGAAAAAAAAAACTACAATCCTAAGAATGTTGCTTCCCCAGCTTTTGGAAACCCCTGAATTTGTAGCCAGCTGGTCAGAAGTGAAGATTCCTTGGCTTGAATGTGTCTTCTTCAAAATTCAGGTGTTGCAAATAGTTTTGAGATAGTGGAACCATTCACAGATGACTAAACCAGGAGAGCTCTTTCCTCCTGTGTAGAATTAAGGTCCTTACAAAATAGGCTCCTCATCATGGTTAGGCCTTCTTGCTCTTTTGTCTTTGGGGCATGAGGACTCAGCATTTCTCCTTTCTGAAAGATGCAGCAAAAAAGCACTATCCTGGATGTAGACAGTGGCCCTCACTAGACAACTGAATGCTCCAGCAACCTGGTCTTGGCCTTCCAGCCTCCAGGACTGTGAGAAAATAAATTTCTACTCTTTAGAAATTATGCAGTCTCTGGTACTTTGTTATAGTGGCACAAAATGGAGACCCTCAGAGTTATGGCTGATGTCTGAAGTGAGGGCATTCCTACTGAGGACCTATGCTGTGTTGTCTGGCTCCCAAGTAGTAGCTTTTGGTGAACATGTTAAACATTATAATTATACAAATAAACACAGGTTTTGTTATGTAGTAATACACACCAAGAAAGTGTACATTAAAATGGCATATTATGATTGACTGGGAATAGAAATATGCAACAATGAGAGAGAATTAAAATCACATATAGAAACCAAAGTAGGACTTGTTGCTGGCTTGATGGCATTATTGGTACTGTTTCAGAACATTCAGATTCTTCCTTGCCACTTAACCACTCACGGTGATCATGACATATGAGGGCACTTCAAAGGTTGTGGAAAAATGATATTAAAAGAGAAATCTATTTTGATACAAAAAATTTTGAAATCCATGCATTTTTGGGGTAATATCATAATCATGGGTTTTTAAATTTTATACATGAAAATAAACATCTTTTAATTTCATTGGCCATGCACTTTTCTGAAGCATTCTTTTCTTTAACAATGAGGAGCAACAGAAAAATGGGAATTAAGCAACAACCAACTGCTTTCCTGATAAAGACTGAAGCAAAGGCTAGGGTCCCTGGGTTGCAAACTACATAGCTGCCTGGGAATATGACAAGAGAGGAGAGAATAAGCAGTAGGCAGGTCTTGTTTAGCTCTGTGCTGCAAAAAGGAGGCAGAACATATAAAAATAAAAAGTTAAGATTAGATTCAAGGGTAATCATTTAAAACCTTGATAATATGGTTGAGCTGATGAATCTACCCATTCTAAAGAGTATTCCATTTCTGGGCTTCTTGTTACGTTGGTAAATGCTCTTATTACTTGAAAAAAATAAAAAAGTGAAGGTATCTGTTACCTTTTAAGTTACAGTCAACACACCCAGTAATAATCATAGTCAATCTTTTTCTTGGTCCACTGAGTTACATTTTCTTCTAGAGTTCTCTTTCCTCTCTGTGGCATATGCGGCAGATCATGGTCAGATCCACTGTATTCAGGTAGGATCAATAAGAAAAGAAGAGCTCAAGTATGGAAACATACCTTCCAACACAACACAGATTTTATTACATGAAAATAATGTCCCTTCTAACCAGCTTAAACAGCCTAAAAGACATGAACCAATGGGTGCAGTCAGGCCCTATTTTTATTGTACTTTCCATTGTATTAAGGATCTTTGTGTTTTCTTATAATTCTAATATTCCAGCTGATAAGGATAGACTTGAGGACTAATACTCATGATAGATCCACTCTCTGATATGTTCAGAAAAATATTTCCTTTGGCTTTTTGAGGAAAATCTTTTTGTTAATGGATATCTTCAATTACAAGAAACCTATTCCCTGTGTTAATATTTGTCTAAAACTTTCCTCCAAAGAATTCATAAGATTTTACTTTTCCAAAAGACCAGATTTGAACATATGAACACAGCTGTGTATTCTTCTATCCATGCATTATAAACACATCCTATAACTCCCTATGTTCCTTTGTATACCTCTAGGATTAAAATGTTCACAGTCATAATCTAGACAATTTCATAATCATACAGGAAAGTAACCAAGGCTCAGACAGCTGATGAAGGAAATCTACTTAAATGCCAGTTTAAAATATATAAGAGAAATGATAGAATTTGGACTGTAGCATTTCACAAATTCTAGTTGCTTTATTGATTCAGACAAGACTTATCAAGATCAAAATCCCTGGGTAAATGGTTAATGGGAAACTGGACATTCATTTGGTATCAAACTGATACCAATTATTCTGTGTACACAGAATAATTTCTAATTATAAGAGGTAAGATAAAATTGCACAATAGTGAGTTCAGATTGCCATCACTCTACAGAACATCAATCTTAACAAATTGATGGTGAAAGAACTGGAAGTTCTGTGTCTTCTAAGGTGGTACAACATGAAATATACAATATCACCTATGATACTATATTCATTGTGTTTCATTTTTATCTGTCAAGCCTTTAAAATCACTTCAACAAAGCACAAATTCAGAGAGAATACAACCAAATTAAACAAAGGAAAAAAACTGGGCTAAATGTTTTTTCCAATCCATGTAAGAAGTTTTCCAAATTCTGCTATACTTATGTTCCCCTGCTTGATCTCTTACTATTGGCCTTGAATTGTGAAGTCCATTCTGTGTCAACATGCTTCAGCTGTAATGTTATTGGCACAAGGTAGAATCCCTGATCTGATCAGTGTAAGGCAAATAATTGATGAGTGCCTTTTGGAAACTCAATTGCATTGTTGATTATTTTGAATATACAGATGCTCCTCAATTTAGAATGGGGTTACATCCTGATAAACTCATTGTAAGTTGTTTACGCTCATGGTTGCCTGGCCAACTGGAGTATTGTGCCATGTATCACTAGCCTAAAAATAATCAAAGTTCAAATTTTGAAATGCAACTACTACTGAATGCATATCGCTTTTTCACAATCATAAAGTTAAAAAATCATAACTTCAGCCATTGTAAATTGGGGACTGTCTATGGTCTATTGACTTTAGAATAGAGGTTAAGAACACTTGCTCTGAAGATCTTGGGAAAGCTACTTAATCTCAATAACCTCAATTTTCTCATTTGTCAGGTGAAGAAAATATTAGACTCTTTATCAGAGGGTTGTTACAAGGGTTAAATGAGATAATGTAGCAATAGTTGAGTATAGTGTTTGGTTTACAGCATATAAAAATACATTTCAACTATTATTAGAATTATGACTGTGGTCACCTAAAATATCAGAATGAAAATTGCATCATCTAGACTCCAATACTTAAAAGTTACTTCAGACCGCAAGTGGTATACTTGGTTCCAGTGTTGTGGTTTATCAGGTTAAGCCCCCGCCTGTGATACTGGCATCCCATATGGGTGCCAGTTCAAACCCTGGCTGCTCCATTTCCAAGTCAGTTCCCTGCTAATGTACTTGGGAAAGCAGTGCAAGAAGGTCCAAGTGCTTGGGCCATGAGGTCCAAGTGCTTGGGCCCCTGCACCCATGTGGGAGACCTGGAAGAAGATCCAGGCTCCTGGTTTCTACCCTGGTTATTATGGCCATTGGGGAGAAGATTCTCTCATTCATTCTCTCCCCCACCCTTCTCTCTTTCTCTCTCGCTTTGTGTGTGTATGTGTGTGTGTGTGTAACTCTACCTTTAATATAAATTATTTTTATTTTTTTGATAGGCAGAGTGGACAGTGAGTGAGAGAGACAGAGAGAAAGGTCTTCCTTTTATCGTTGTTCACCCTCCAATGGCCGCTGTGGCCAGCGCATCGCGCTGATCTGAACCCAGGAGCCAGGTGTTTCTCTTGGTCTCCCATGAGGGTGCAGGGCCCAAGGACCTGGGCCATCCTCCACTGCACTCCCAGGCCACAGCAGAGAGCTGGCCTGGAAGAGGGGCAACTGGGACAGAATCTGGCGCCCCGACCGGGACTAGAACCCGGTGTGCCGGCGCCACAGGTGGAGGATTAGCCTAGTGAGCTGCCCCGCCAGCCCTAATATAAACCTTTAAAAAAAGAAAGTGGTATATTTTTCTGCTTAATGGTGAAAATATCTTTTTGATGAAATAATTTTCTTCACCTCATAGGCATACTACTATATTTCTATTTTTCTTACATTGTAAATTCTTTAATTAACTAACATTGTATTTTTTCATCTTTAAGAACTTTGGGGATCCCAAAATCACCCACAGAAGTAGGGTAACACAAGATTTTGGGTTAAGTTTTGGCAATTCTCTCTCTCTCTCTCTCTTTTTTTTTTTTTTTTTTTTTTTGAGTGGGAAAATAGCTTTATTTCTCTGGGGAGTGGGTGGGCGTGGTCTCAGAACTTCTGGAACTGCTTCTTGGTGCCGGCGGCCTTGGTGACCTTGAGCAGGTTGAAGCACACGGTCTTGCTTAAGGGCAGGCACTCGCTCACCTTGATGATGTCCCCGATCTGGACGTCCCTGAAGCAGGGGCACAGGTGCACGGACATGTTCTTGCGGCGCTTCTCGAAGCGGCTGTTCTTGCGGATGTAGTGCAGGTAGTCACGGCGGATGACCATGGTTCTCTGCATCTTCATCTTGGTCACCACGCAGACAGGATTCTACCTGGATGGAGACGTTTCCGGTGAACGGGCATTTCTTATCGACGTAGGTGCCCTCAATAGCCTCCTTGGGCGTCTTGAATCCCAGCCCAATG